TTTTTAAAACTTCGATTAAGAAGATGACACTACGGCGCCAATTTTAGCGCCGTACTTTTTTCCCATAATCCAATGTTGCTGTCGCGAGATAAAATATGGTAGTGAATGATACACCTCGACATGGAGCTGTTGTTTATTTTCTTCTTCTTTTATCGTATTCGATGCATTTTTGTACATTTTGGGTGACGGGTATCATTCTCATGTACATGCATACGTTGACAGGTAAATACATTCCTAGTCGTAATCTGGTTTATCTTTAACATGACACGTAACACTGGACAGAGATGACACATTCGTGTTTCTCTTTACTCTATTTTAATGGCTTATTCGCTTGTGTCACGACAAAATCGTATTAGGATAAGAGTCACAATCCTTTGACGAGAATATTTCCAGTAAATGGTGAGACATGCGTGCTCGTTATCGAACTGTATACACCGTGTACACATAAATCCCTCTACGGAAGGCTTCAACTTCTACACACAGGCTTACTACCGTACCGACAGAACTAGTTAAAGAGTTAAAGAGCGTACGGTTGTCGAGCGTACCCTTGAGTATACTCGTTCATTCAAAAAAATGTCCTCCAAATATTAATTCTGTTTTTCTAATGTCATCTAATATTATTTATTTTATATTATTCTGAGTGCAATTATATAGAAATATTGTATACTTAGGGTGATCTATAAATAATAATTTACCATAATAAATTTCTAAAGAACAAATTTTCAAAATCTGAAATAAAAATTTCAAAACATACAATAGAAGAAAAGTTATTTAATTTTGAAATGGTAAAGCGACTTGTAGACCACTCTGTATATAGTTATATAAAAAATTCGTAACACAAAAGATTTACAACACAATCCTTCACAACTCTTCCAAAATGACACAAGTAGCTCACGAACCTAACCTTAACCCAAAATGAATCATTTACAACGTTATTTCACTGGGTCCACGGTATTTCTTTTCGAAATGATCGCTATGAAGACCATTTGCTACTGGAGCACCATTTGCGGTACACGCTGTAGCGTTCACTCTCGCAGACGTTCCTGCACGTGCGGCACGCGCGTACACGTTGAAAATTACGCGCGCGCGCGCGCGCGTTCGCCAGCTGAGTGACTCGTGGATCGCCGCTCTTTCATCTTGTCAGTCGGTTTTCCTGCTTCTTCGGGAGCAGTTCGAATGGCAGGTGGCTCGTGCGTGCCACGATCCATCATCTGAACAATCGATCCCTTTCAGTCTCGAGTTTCTTTCGAGCAAAGCCAACCATGCTGTTCCACGTGACCTATAGGGGAGTTCTCACGGTGATTTTAGCCCTTCAGATGGTTTGTTCGCAACCGGAGGAGGCGTTTCCAAATATTTTAGGAGGCATCGAGAATGTTGCGAACACTGCCTCCAATTTTCGTGAGTATTATTTTAGAGAAGAAATTCTTCTCTCCTTATGGAGATTCTTGGTGCACTGTTATCATTTGCGAGAGCACAGGTTTTTTTATTTAATTCACGCAGTTTGAAGAATTTTAGGGAATTTTGTTCACTTTTTTCATTACCTCACAGTGGTCTCTTGGTGTGTTATCGTTGCAATTTTTTTGTATTAAAGAATTTGTATTTAAAAAAGAAATTGTCACGTTCGTATCGTGTTTTGAATTTTATTTGTGGATCTAACGATCTGAGTATAGAAAAATTGAAAAAAAATACAGAGGTTCAGTAACGCGCGTTGGACTGAATAGTCCAATTGTCCCCGCTGATGTGCTAACGGGAGAAAGAACTTTCACTTGGCCACAGACTATACAAGCTGATTCAAGAATTCAGACACATTGGCGCGCAGAATTATGTGGAATTAATTGCAGAATGCTCACGCCGGCGTTAGTCATTGTCATTGATACAAAGTGCAGTTCAAGCAGTGTCGACCTTTTTTGCGAATATTTGCACTCGTTAATCTTTCATGAAACGACGCAAACGGTATGTGCTGTGTTCACTTTAATGCAAATGTTCTGTTCTTTCGAAGAAACAACTTTTTTTCGAGTCTTCGTGGAAACTTAATCAAAGCGTACTTTTATCTTCGTAGAGACATAATTAAAAATAATCCTTGCTCATTGGCCACTTTTAAACGAATTCACAAATGTATCTAAAAATCGAAACTTATGAAACACCAGTCGTTAAAAAATTCCTCAAAAATTTCCAACATTCGATAAACTGAAAAAATTAACTTTTCACAATTCACCGATCACCGATCTTTTCGGACGATAAATTCTTCAGATTTACACACCACTAATTCCTCCCCGACAAACTTCCAAAAGAATCAAAATGCCTCGAAGAGACACGTGCAAGAATCAGAAATTCCGAAGAAAGTCCCAAAATTGCACCTTCCTTCGCAGAACGCCGGTCGCTGAATTCCCGCGAAAAATTCCACAACCACGAAATTCCCAGAATAAAGCCGACAAAAAAAAAAAAATATCTACAATTGAAACTGATAAGAGAGTATTACCGGAAGCACACTTGTTTTCCCTGTTACGAAAAGTCGCTTCCTCGACCACTTCCAGAGTGGTCAAATTTAAGAAACTCAATTGTTACATAAATACAGCACGTAAATCGCAAAATGACGATTCATTAATCACACAGGGGACACATTCGTGCGTTTTTGCAGCTCAAGCGTCATTCACTTCACAGACACGAGTTCCGCATCTTCTGTGTCGACTCGACGACACTGTCGCGGCACGACAACAGGAATTGCCTCATTATGCTCGCACTGTTACGCTTTGCAAACTAAATTACGCGAATCTGAATGATCGCGATGCATACCCACACATTCAGTACTGCTCGAGGAAATCGTTTCCCTTTCACGCCTCGTTCTGCCGCCATTATTCATTATTCTCACGGTCATTGTCACTGTTTCGCCAATTCTTTATCCTTCTTTTCTGTTCTCTTCCTGACATCGTACCGTAACATAAAACCATTTTCAACGCTTCCTTTCAATATATTTTTTTCATCAGATCGTCGTTTCAATCCAAAGATTTAGTTAACATTTTCTTTAGCCTCTCGTGGACATTATCCTTTCTTTTTTCCTTTGTTTAACACGTTGAACGCCGGACCAATTCTACGTAACTTGTCCTATTCTAATACAACACATTGCAATATGCATAAATACCGTAACATAAAACCATTTTCAACGCTTCCTTTCAATATATTTTTTTCATCAGATCGTCGTTTCAATCCAAAGATTTAGTTAACATTTTCTTTAAAGCGACAGGCATCGAAAGATGTAAGAATCTTCAGATTTATTAGTTATAGGCGTGAAATAGTGCGATTTTCACAATCTTTAACCGTTTGTAGCTCATAGCAACATTAACCGATTTCGATGAAATTTTCAGCACGTATATAATTCACATAGATCTACAAAACGTATGTTTTAAATTTTCATTACAAGCCTAGATAAAAAAGTTGTAAACAATGACCTTTACAATTTTCTTCGCGATTCCCACAAACTGTAATCTTTTCAAAATTTTTTGCACACGTCATCTAGTAAACTAATCTTTCTAACTTCTCAAAAAAAAAGTCAAGTCGTTTGGCCCAATTTTAAAAAAGTTATTCCGTTTTATAGGGTGGCCTAATACTTATGCACGGTAGTGTATGTCAATAGTTAGAAATAAAACTACTTAAATATGCTGTGCGACGCATTAGGTGAAAATTTTTATAAACACTACCATTTATTCAAATTAAATGCTTTTACTATTTTTGAGACCGCCGGTCACCGATGACCCCCACGGCATTCAACGTGTCAATTGTTACGAACTTAATCTTACCCTTAATCTCGTTAGAAATACTTTACATGTGTATACACTACCGGCCAAATGTTTGGAATCACTGTGCAGTACAAGTTATACAAAAATTTCCAGAATAAAGGTGGCAATTTTAAGAATATTTTAACCAATTTTTCCTCGCTCAAATCAACCGAAATAAGGTAAAATACTATCGATCTCCGCAACGTCAATTTCAAATCTATGAAAAATTAGCAGCGGATTCAATTTTACCGTAAATTAGCGGGTGAAATTTTTGGCCGGTAGTGTATGTTTCATGTATAATGTGATAACGACTTGTGCAGCCATTACTGTGATTCTACAATTAAAAAAAACATTTTTCACTATTTTCCATTTTCAATTGATTAAACGAAACATGTCGAAATAGAAATATCAGAAAATTCGTCCTTTGGTTAACGTTTCAATAAATTATTCTTCCTTGTCTGAACCGACCATTTTCAAATAGTCATTTCCAACAAGCACTTCCTTCACACACATTCTTCTAACGAAACCTTCGAAAAATGTCACTTGAAAATCACCGAAAATACGAACGAAAAAAAATTCTCCCGTCGATGTGAATAACCCGTCGCTTGTAACAACACAATATGAATCATTCATTTGTTCACTTTTCAAGTTCACTGACACAATATTTCGCAATACCGTAGAATTTACGAAACACCGGATTGCAAAGTGCTCGTCGAACCTAACTTCCATTTAGTCGATCGTATCGTTGAGTAACGTTAACTCATTTTTTCAATTACACAATTCGTTGCTCAATCGTTGTTCACGATTGTTATCGAAGCGTTCTATTGAAGAAAAGAAAAATTACCGTTTCACTAGCTGGAATTAACACACCTGACCACGCGAATGCACAGCAAGGTGGAAATTGGGAAGCAGCACGCGCTGAATCGCGCGTTCACGTATCAATCACCTATCGATACCCCAAAGACACGGATGGGTGGTGTTCCAGTGGAAACTGTGCTGTTTAATCGTTTGTTCCAGTGACGGGACTCATGCAACGACAGAAAGCACTGATACACCGCGTGACGGACACGGCCACCGACTACCGTATGTGCCAGTTTAATCGAAACTGCCCTCTGAATCGTGATTTTCAAACTACCCTGTGGTTCTTGCACGAAGCGAAACTTTACGCTTCATTTTTCTCAATTTTTAGACTATTTTTTTCGTAGAACTTTTTCACTTTATTTCGAGCTGAACATTTTCGGTCAATTGTGGGCTCAATTTTGGACTCGACTTTTCGCTTAATTCTCGTCGAAATTTCGATCCGAAATTTAGGCCCAAATCTAATCTAGTTCTCAGTTTAATCTCAGACCCATCGTGTTTTACCTAATTTTCAACCCACCCTACGCGAAGAGAAGTTTCAAAATCTTGGTTCATGAAAGGGCTCCTTAAATCACGTCCATACATACGACCACGCTTTCAACGAACAGTCCAAAGCGAATTCCAATGCTTAACATCGTCGTCCATTAAAATAATCGCAATTGCACGCGGTTACGAAAGACCTAAGAAGCTTCTTCTACTCCCAGAGCGTTCCTCGCTTTGACCAACGCCAATTTTGCTGACAGTTTCCCAATCATGCACTCTGTACTCGATACCACAACCTATACATATATATAGTATCATCGATTGAGCAGTGCCTTATGCGGTTTAACATGTGTAATCACGGCCATAACCTCTCTGAACGAGTTCAAACTTATTCAAACCTGTTCGATCCTTTTTCAGAATTAATTAAACGCACTGTTTTGCGACGAGGACTGTAACAGAAATGAATTAATTTCACGGAATAATAGTTTTTGCTTGTTAACCCCATCCGTTCCCCTGTTTCTAACGGTCCATTAGCGAGCCACGTCCAAACTCATGGAAAGTTTCACGTTGACCTAATTATGCACAGGCAACGATCACCATCCCCGCTTGCGTCTAGCATTTATCGCTTGCAATTACTTCTGGAATCTCCGCGAGATCTAAAACTACTCAGAATCTCCGAATCTTGGAATTGCTTCGCTGCAAACAGTCACGGGTACACTGCCACTCACAACCACTTGTCCAGCTTTTTCCTTCTAATTCTGTTCAAAAATTTCACCAATTTCTCGAACGGGCCATCTGAAGAATTGAACGAAATTATCGGAAAAATTTTTTAATTAAAAGACACCGTAGGGAAATGGTTGGACAGGTACTTGCGAGTCACAGTGTATATTCAGAAGTTCAAGTACAACGTGTAGCATAGCTTTCCTGACCTTTTTTAGTTACCAGCGCAGTGGAGAAGCCTAAGACCCTGTTGATAGACGCCACCAGAGTCACCACAGGCTATAGTAAGTACCTCGAATCGCCTAACCATGCTCGTAATACTAATCGAACGAAGGACAGTCGACAGTGCAGCTTCCAAGGGCCTGGAATTCAAGCTGAGAAGAGTTTTGGAGAAGTTTCGTGCCAGGATGCCATATGGTATACCAGAACTGGATATTCCACCTTTGGAACCGCTTCACCTTGACCATATCGACATCGAGATCGATAATCCTGACATAGGGAAGTAAGTTCTGACGATTAACTCCTCAGTCACGTTTCTCGCCAGACGTGTCGGTTCGAATGACGTTTCGGGTCTTCGAGAATTCTTGGAACATCCTGTCTGGATTTTCTTTCATTTTACCTTGAATTTTGAACAATTTTTCTCACACTTTGAAGAGTTCGAAGGGCTCGAGTGAGATTTCTGGAGGTTAGAATGCCCTTAGGTGTGTCACAATTCACAGAAAAATATTAGCTTCACTTTTCACAGATAATTTATTTTTCTCAATTGTTTTTTCGTTTATATCGTCTGTTTTTTGTTTTTTTATTTCAATCAGACAGTTGTTGATTATAATTTTAACCCTAACGAGCCTGCCAAAGTGTCAATGGAGGCCTCTCACAATTTAGGTTGCCCCTGAATGTATGGCAACTTCCACAGCTCCCCCTGAACGTATGGCAACTTCCACAGCTCCCCCTGTTTCACTCGATTCACCGAACATTGCGCTCGGCGTGGCTTCTCTTTGTCAATTCACACGTGTCCAATTTGTTTTCCAGCGTGTCTCTCATCATAGATGACTTAAACCTGCACAATCTGTCGACCTTCGTGATCAACAAGGCGAAACTATCGCTTATCGGGCCGACTATTACAGCCAACGTGACCATCCCACGAATCCACGTGGAGGGCTTTTACAATATATCCGGGATGCTCGGAAAAATGGTCGCACTGAACGGTTCTGGCCCCTTCCAGGCGAACGTATACGACTTCCAGTTGTACGTGAACACTATGCTAGGCTTTTCGAGAGGAGTGTACCTGAAGACCTTCGACATAGACTTCTCGCTGAAGTCCATGGACGTCGCTCTGGAGAACTTCATGAACGACGAAGAATTGAGCTCCGTAATGAGCAAAGTATGGCCATTTTTTCTTTTAATTACGGTCCTTCGGGTAACTGGAGAGAAATTTTAAGACTTACGTTTGAAAGGAAATTCGACCGAGGCGGACATTTGCAATTTTTCAGCACTTGTAGTCGGCGAAAACATGTTTTATTTATGTATTACAGCCCTGGTAACTAGGCTATCTCATGGTTTGTAAATTTCTAAGCTTTGAACATCTTTAAAAATTTCATTTTCCAATCTACAGTAGTACAAGCGATGTAAATTAGACTGGACGCTGGTTTTGCCAATTTCTAATCTCTCTTACTCTTCGAAATTTCTCTATTCATGCACCAGCCAGCAGTGACGAAGAAGTACTGATATCTCAGGCACTCCGCGACAAATTAAAGGAACAGAAAATTGAATTTGCATGCGTTTGCCCACAGGTCTTTCAAGAACTGACACCCAAGGTGGTGGACGTCATTAAGCCGGACGTACTTCCCGGTATCAGAAGCTATATAGGAAACAGAATTAACGAGACCATTCACGACCTCACCATAAGGGACGTAATTAGCGTACTTGTGGGCCACAACGAAATTCGAGAGTTTGCTGATCTCTTAGTGCCTTAGTATTAACATGAAAACGTACTTAATTCGGACTAATATTTAATTGAAAAGAAACAAAATTCTTCGAACTAATAACCATGACACTTAGATCCTTAGTAAATAAAACACTCGCACATTTGTACTTTTTTTTTTTACTACAGAAAAATTGTCGTAGAATTTTCTAGAATTTCTTTTCACCGGTACCAGAAATAATCTGATTTTCGAAAAATTGGTGAAATCTTTCACTGAATTTTTTTTCTTTTGTTTTTCTTTTTTTTTTAATACATTTATAGGAGAGTAGTGTCTATTAAATGGAGATTATATCATGTCTCATTTTCTTGCCCTTTAGAGGACTGCAATAGAGTCCATGTACATCAATCCTCTCTTTAGATCTGATGTACTCGTACAAAAATGTGTTATCTTTCAAATTAATGGTCTGGAAACGTGGAATGGGAATTCGTGTACACGAGCATGTCGTGACAGGGGAAGAGAGTGGCGCGAAATAATGCGTCTTGCTGGCAACACGGGGAAGGTTCCGGTTTCAGCTAAAGTGAGAACTTAATTTGCAAGGAGAACGATAAATCTAGAACGTCTGCACAATGCGGTTAAAGAATTGTAGAAGCTTGAGTGCCCCTTAAATTCCTGGGGCTGTAAAAGAGTTTTACAGGATGTTTGAAGCATAAAATGATTTTTCTACAGGCATAAATATTTAGTAGCTATCAGAAAGTTGATTCAATTTCTTTATAAATATTTCAATAAGAATTTCTTCCAATTTTCGCACACCTGGAAAAATTTACAACGTCGGTTAGAGATATTTTTCAATGTTGGAGCTTGTAAAGGTTGCAGCTTGAACCTTCTTCCAATGGAATGGCGTGTGAGTGGCCTTTGTGAAAATGTATTTTGATACGTTTTTGGAAATATACAGATTATTGCTATTCGCAGAGCTTCAGAAACCTTTCCCAGATTCCTAAACGTCGTTTGAAAATTATTTTTTTAAACATTGTCGGTAATAAAAGATGGAAAATAAAAAATGTGAAGGAGTGTTTACGAAGAAGATTGTGCTGGAACAGGTGAGAATAAGTTTGCTTAGAGGTGAATCTGTGTTGGTAAAGAAGGGTCAGGGGTCGTCGACAATGGTATAAAAATAAAATGAGTCACGAGTCTAGCTCAGATTCAATGAACCGGCGCGCCGCGGCGTTGAGGGGCGAGCCCAATGTTTAATTCATCGATTTGCATGGCGATCGCTGTGTGGCATGTTTAATTTACCGCCACAGAGAGCGAAAGTGGACGATCCTTGAGCTGGATCGCGTGTCACGAGTAAGCTGACGTTAGTCAATAACCATTCTGATAGCCAATCCAAGCTGTTGTCAACTTTAGAAATAAATTTCGAATATTTTACAAATTGTTATTAACAATGTTGCATTTTAAGTATGCAAATTAATTGGTCTAGGCTAAGCAAACGAAAAGAAAAATATGTGATCAATATCTTTTCGAGAATTGCAATAATTTTGCTAATCTATTTTTTAGTACTTTTAATATTTGAAAAATGTTTTCGTTCATTTTTTCCTACCTGCGCAATCACTATTCTTTTTCGACGTTTAAAAATTTTCCATTCTAATCTTTTTCATTCTTCGTTCTATTTGAACTGTAGATTTGAACTGAATAAGGGCCGGGAATAATTCCTGAACTAAAGTACCCCGAGTGGCGCTAGTTGTCACTTAAGTCCAGATCCCAATTAAAGGTTAATCTTTGAAAATTTTTCCCGACGAAACTAGAAGAGATATTAACGCGAATCCTTTTGCATTGTGTTTCCAAGCATCTCTAATATCATCTCGTATTTTTATTTCCTCGCAAAAAAATCATTCCCTCTTTCCGGAATTATTTTCCTAAGAAAAGATCCAGAAATCTTACCGCAGACTCGTTTTACGTACCCGAAAGAAAGCGCAAAAGAAAACCATAACAATGATTTACCATTTCTCTGTCCCTCAGATCGTCCCTCATTCCTCACCAGACAATCAGAGAAACGTCTCAACACCCTTCCCTTCCTCCTAGAAAGGGAGCAGTCGACAGGTCGATCCAAGCCGACAAAAGCGACGAAAATAAATTCCATTTATCGTTCTCGACCCCTCCCGTGTCCCCAATCGAAGAAAACTGCGCAGTTCCACGCTGCTCGATGATTATCTACTAAAACGACTCGCCGGTGATAATCGATGCTGACGATGATAGCCGTGACAGTGTTCAGATTAACGATAGTCCAATAGTAACGGAACCAGGTTACGCGAGCTGTTTATCAACTCTCAGCTCTTACGATACCATTCAATTAACGGATTAATCAGCGTTCGTGTCCACAAACAGATGGCAAAACATCAGCATTGTCAGCGATGGACGTTTTCTTTTTCTTTCTCTTTTAACTTTTAAAATCGAGCCGAGATAGCGGTTAATTGCTTCGATGATCTGCAACGATAAGGAGAGTATATATACGCTATACTGTCGTTCATAAGTATTTGTGCCCTTCCCTCTTTATTCATAGATGCGATCAATTTTTCGAGCGAATCAAATTCTTTCCTAAATACAGCTTAGAATACAAATTAAATCTTTCAAATGCATTCATATCCATGAAAACAAATAAATAAATAATTGATCACGTGATGTGAGTCACCCTGTGTACATTGCGTGCCTCATTTATAACCAACGTCTGAATTATTTCCATTCTTAACGAAGCTAAATTATGAACTTGAAGAACATTTCAAGATCATCGTCATTTTTCTCTTTCGTGCGTGTTAACATCTGTCTCACATTCCAGATGACCGCGAGGAGATTTTCTTTCGTCGTAAACACTTTAGTCACGTTTTCCTACTTTCGACGGCAACGAAAATAATTCAGACTTTTTTGTACAAGTGAGATACCTTGTATATGCATACGTGTGTATTTCTCCGCACGACAATGAAATGGACCGATCAGTGAAATGTAATGGCGTAGAGAGGCGGGAATCGCTTTTGTCAGCGGCAAGGAGACGCTTTCCTCGATTTCCTGCGCCGGTGAATAAAAATCCATTGACGCACAAAGAGTGCCACTCGAGCACTCGATCTCTCTCAATATTTGATCTCCCATTTATCGTATTCTATTCCTAGCCAAAGGCAAATTCTGTTTGCTTCGCTGCTGGGACACCGTAAATATGTTGGCACACGTGATTGGGCAAATTGTCATTAATTACAAATTGTAACAACGGGGGGAAAATGGTCTAATGGAATTTTTGGAAAAATAACAGGTACATTAATTCGAAGAATTTCAATCTTTATAAAAATTGTATCCTACCCCAAACCGAAAATTTCCATGATCTCGACACGGTTTTTCAATGAAAATTTCTAATTCACCAAAAGTCTTGGGAAATTTTAAGGAAAATATCAGGGACGTTAATTCTAAGGATTTCAAATTCTCTTTAAAATAATTTTACTCCACTCCATTTCAAATTTCAAATTCTCTTTAAAATAATTTTACTACAATGCTATAGTTTTAATAAAAATTTCGACGTGTTGGAGGATTTGAAAATGAAAAAAATTTCCGATTTATTCCTTTGACGTTCCAATCCTTCCTGCTTCGCTGTTCGTACCGAACAAGTTTCCCTTGTTTAATGTCCCTCCCCACGCACTTTCAAAGTATCCAGTATTGAATTTCCTTTTTCCAAATGGAAACGTCTAAACGAACTTTCATTAATTTCACGCTCCTCCCTTTGACAGAAATTACAGCCTCGGGATCGAAGGTGAAGAGGTCACCGTTGAAATTTTCTCTCCAGTCTCCTCTGCTCCCCCAATTCCACAACAACGAACCCCTCCAGCTCGGACGAATCGCGATCGGAACGCGTGGAGTCCATTATCACCGTTATCACCGCTCCTCTGTAATATCGTTATCGACGGATCACCAAATACTTGCACGTGCTCCGCCACTCTTGTGTTTCGAGTGGGCCAACGGACGTTTTCAGAGATAACTCTTTTCACCCCTCCTCACGCTAGCTAATCGATAATCATCCGCCCGGTGCCCTTCGCTTATTCACAAATCTGTTTGTTCATTCTGCAACCGGAGAGGTGAAAGAAGTTGTAGGTTGAATTTGACAATTACAATTTGCAACGGTGCAATTCGCAAAGGCGTGAATTGCCTGAAAAGTTGCGATCATGCCGGGTAATTCCGCACGTGTCTGATACAGAGACAAGTGGTAGCGCTGGGAGGAATCGCCTGATTGCCGGTGGTTCTTTTCGCTAAATTTATCTCTTCGCTCTTAGGATCGGTCGACCGGTAAGAGTAGTCGGTGATAAATGGATCATAGGAAGGATAATCCCGTGATTGATGGTCCAGTTGGCTGGCTACAATGTTAATGGAGTTTCAGAACACTCGTGTAACGGGCAGAGGCAGATTCGGGGAGAATTTGACGAGGCTAACCGCGATACCGACAGAACTTCGGACTTCTACCAGAGGAGCAAGCCTTGCGGAATGTGCAGCGGTAGCTGGCTGGTCTTCAAAGTCCTATCGCAGAGGTCTGGTGCAGCCGCACGTAAGAACGGCACTTAGGCCACTTCAATCAGCTCAGCTCACTGTATTTCACTGTGACATCTGAGGACTCGGTGTGGATTTTAACGTGGCTCTGTGACACGAGCAGTGAGCTAGCCTCTCTTCTGGATCTCTGGACTTGTGTATCAAAATTGTGAGAAATAGCAGGTTGCATACTACCAGCATTTTTAGGAAGATATTAGGAGACAATTTGGCGCATTTGTTTTGCTCAGAATTGTTTCACACTTTCGTGGATTACTTTTCCTTTTTATGAAATTCTGAGTATAGTCGGGGCCACGATATAGCGAGGTCGTAAAATCGGTTAGGCGTCAAAGTAAACATGTTTTAGCTGCCGGGACCCCGAAATTGACAGAAATACGAGCAGATAAGTACTTGAAACCATGGTCAGGACCGTACAAAGAATTCTTGTATCCAGCGAAAGTCAAACTGATTCTAATATATTTACTGAAAATTGAGTTCAGCTAGGACAATTTAGGGTTTTTTTCTTCTGGGAAAAGCCGCATTTGGAAGTACGGTTACAAGATGCAGATAGAAAATGCAAAAGGATTGTGTAGCTTTAATATTAACATATTTTCCATTTGTAAATGAAATACCATTTTCTACTTGAAGTACCAAATCATATGCTACCATTCGTTTATTGTTGGAACCCTCAAACAGACTGCAACACACGGCCTTGAGTGCCGCAACATCAATCGATGCCGATTCTTGAGAGTTTAATTTACGACCTCGCTATATCGTGGCCCCAACTATACTCGTTTGACGTAAAATTGATATCTTAACGCTTCTGTTTCACGGTTCGTAAAGATCGTCCCTTGTGCAATCACTTGGCGATCTGAAGGGCTTTATGAAACATTATCCCCGGTATCATGTCTCATTATAATCCCATACTTCGTTACAATCTCCGAGCATCGAAATTTAATCTTTCTTTCTCTCGATCGTCGACAGCCCTCTTTCTCGCATCTATCGTCGAAATTTAGATCTTGAAGCTGAAGTATTTTTCACCGCACCTAATGTACCACCGGGATCATTTTTCTCCCTCCGGTGTCTCGCAGGGGCAGCAGATAGTCGAAAAAGTTGCCGTCCAGAGGCACTCGAAGCTACGCGACTCGATGAAACAGCTCTGCAGTTCGAAGAGACCCATATACCGCGGCCAGGACAGCGGCGTGCTCTTCTATTTTTCATCCCGCGGCGAGAATACACGGAAAGCAACAGATGGCGGATCCCCCGGAGCGACGAGGAGCCAGCTAGTGTTTGCTCGGGTGCAAGGGAGAGAGGGAGAGCTCACGCGGAACGAGAGAGAGAGCCTCGGAAATCGGACATGCGTAAGATCCGACGATATAGAGCACCGGAGGAAGGCAGTCGCGCTTAAACGGCGCCCGGCGTCGGACGTGCCAACGCGTCGCGAGAACTGATCCATCGTTTGATCCACAGTTGAACACCTGGTGAACGGGTCCTGAGATAAACCATGCGGGAACTTAGCCAAACTAAGAATTCTCCCGATGAAAACTTCTCATGGTACACCGTAGAAGAGCACTGATAGAGACTCTTCGTTTCTTCCTCAGCTAGATTCGTCGTTGTTCGACAAGTTCACCGAAAGATCCAGTCTCCACCGAGGATCGAATTATTTAAGAAGAAATAGACTCGAAGCAGCGCGTAGACGATCTATACCTCTCATGGTGGGCACGGTGATGATGGTAAATGGGCGTGTACAGACTGATTGAAGCCTGCAACCGCTACCAGGGAACCAGCTGAAGGATTTACTCTCGGCGAACATAGTGTATCCGACTTGAAATATTCGAGTAGCTGATTAAGAGTGTTGATTTAGAAGAATTGCAAGGTAAACAGACGATCGAGCGAGTGGCTACTGGCGTCAATTTGCGGAAAAGAAGCAAGCAAATCCCTCTGGAAGAGTGAAGACTCTATGCAAGCAATCTGGAGGAGCTGTTAATCTGAGGTCAAGATCATAGAAGATCCTAAATTCAAGGCTTCAAATAAACCAATCCACTGGTTGCTTGTTTTCCAGCAGCTCTGTGGCTTCCACGCGTCGGAAGTAAGCTCGTAAAGTAACACAGATCGTTCGCTGTCAACGTTTTATCTTCTCGGAACGTGGACGTTTTTCCTTTTTCTCGAAATTTCAAGGAAGTTTACGAGTCAACTTGGCAGAGACGCAAGCGAGAAAAGGACGTTCCTGATTGATAGGACAGTTTCGACCGATATAAACAAGTGTCTCCGTTGCTTCTACGACGCACGAGGGGACAACTTGAGGATTCTGGGCAGAGAATCCAAGGATTTCATCGTTGACCGTTCGAAAGATTTGGTACTGGCTTCCTCCGATGACTTCCGGTTCTCCTGCCGAGACAGCGGTGACGTTCGGGACATTTCTGGTGAGTAGAAAATTCGCAACACCTTTCGAGTGATTTTTCCCCGAGATTCTGTAACGGTGATAGGAACGTGTAATAGATTTCTCGATAATGGAGGCGATAAAGTCGACGGTAATTGGCTCTTTAAGGAGGTATACTTATCTGACTGGGAAGATATTGGGATATTTCTGAGTGCTTCTTTTTCTACGGACTCTCGTCGAAGCGTTGCAAACAGTTCTGAATCGGTGATCACTTTTTCTCCTTGAAACTATCAGAATTCATAATTTCTCGTTTCTTCGTAGACACCTGACAGTGTCTCTCTCTCTGAATATTTCAGGATTCCGAGATGTTTTCGCAAACTTTTCCATCGTTATTCAGCAGATTCTTCGTTATTCCTCTCCTCGGACACCTGCTCCAAGCTTCGTTTAACACAAGTGTATAGTTTTTCATTATTGAAGTAGTCGGTGACACTTGAAGCTCAAGTGGATTCTGAAAGGAGCCTTATCAGGAAATTGCTGACTGCTGATTTTCCCCTGGACATTTTTCCAGCCTTTGCAGCGATCCGTTGGAGAGATTGGGAAGGCTGGATTCCTCGGGACCGGGAGTGTGAGATAAACATAATTCTGCGAGGTCTAGAAATTACTTTCATTTAGCTTCGAAAAACAATACGAACGATACAGATAATTTTAAACTGATGCGTTCATCCCAGATGTTCGCTGTGCTTGCACTTCGAACGATGCGTTATCAAGTATTTTTATAATCGTAAACGCGTAAACAATCGCCTGGGCGAGCATATTCGTTCCACGATTGCTGATTATAAATTTGTATCTTAAATCCCTTTATTGGTAGCACTTGTCACCGTCGCATTCTCAGCGTAGCTCCTTAATACGAGTACACAGGTACAATATTTTACAATTCCCAGTTATCTTCCACGCAATTTTTCCTCATTCTGCCTCATACACAGAGTGTCTCGCTTGTAACGAACAGCGAAATTATTTCCGTTCGTATCGGAAATAAGAACAAACTACTGAGTTCTTATGGCTTAAAGATGCCATAGAAATGTCCCCAAGACATTTTGAACGAAGGTCATTTCAAGGTCACCGATCATTTTTTCCCCTGTTTCAAGTCACTTTAACGTCCTTTCTTTTATCACCGGCAGATGCTTGTTTTCGAACCATCAAAATTTCTCTCGGCAATATTTTCCTATTTTCGATACCAGTGGATATCGTTAGAAGTGAGACACCCTGTATATTGAACCAGCGAATATTGTTAACCCTTTGCACTCTTTGAGGCGATTAAGTAGCGACATTGTATTTACCATTAGAGGCAACTCTAAGGACGATATTTTCGAAGAAAGCGGGTCTATGGACCTCCGTGAATTGTTCACTACATGTTCAGAGATCTCGATAGTGGAACAATTTGAAAGAACCAACTTCTGATAAAAATATTAGTTTTAAAAAATTACATTAAGTTTTGCTACTTTCTTTTAGAAAGAAGGACCTTCGAGTGCAAAGGGTTAATCCTGAAATTTGAAATCTAGACCTAACCTAACAGAGATCTAAATATCCTAATTGTCTCGATTACAATTTCTCGTTTTTCCCGTTCAGTTTGAAAAATTGGACCGGTATTCAAGATCTAACGCAGGTCGAACTTAATCCTGAAATTTGAAATCTAGACCTAACCTATATCTAACCTAGACCTATCAGAGATCTAAATATCCAAATTGTCTCGATTACAATTTCTCGTTTTTCCCGTTCAGTTTGAAAAATTGAACCAGTATTCAAGATTTAACGCAGGTCGAACTTAATCCTGAAATTTGAAATCTAGACCTAACCTATATATAACCTAGATCTATCAGAGATCTAAATATCCAAATTGTCTCGATTACAATTTCCCGTTTTTCCCGTTCAGTTTGAAAAATTGGACCAGTATTCAAGATTTAACGCAGGTCGAACTTAATCCTGAAATTTGAAATCTAGACCTAACCTATATCTAACCTAGATCTATCAGAGATCTAAATATCCAAATTTTCTCGATTACAATTTCTCGTTTTTCCCGTTCAGTTTGAAAAATTGAATCGGTATTCAAGATCTAACGCAGGTCGAACTTAATCCTTTGCACTCTTTGAGGCGACTAACGTTATATTTACCATTAGAGGCAACTCTAAGGACGATATTTTCGAAGAAAGCGGGTCTATGGACCTCCGTGAATTGTTCACTACATGTTCAGAGATCTCGGCAGTGAAATAGTTTGAAAGAACCAACTTCTGATAAAAAAAATAGCTTTAAAAAATTACATGAATTGGGGAAAAAGGGCTTTTCGAGTGCAAAGGGTGAACATTTTGCTTGCATCGTTGCACGATTCAAGTACGGTCGTCGCACCTTCGAATCCTCGACAAACAACTTTGCACGGCGCTGTACACGGATGTGGTGCAATTATAAGAAACTATTCCGATTGACGTTGATTTTGCATTGTAATTCGAGGATCCGTATGCACGAACACTCGCGGATACTTGATAACGCATCGTTCGAAGTGCAGCAGCGAACGTTCGGAATGAGCGCATCGGTTAAAATTATCGAAATTCTGTATCGTCGTTTAGTACACGTATCTGCGTCTACGACGAATTTTTCTACATTTTCTCACGCGACAGGAAATATCAAATTTGTCGAAATAAACACGGCGAGATACGTTTCTCTTCTATTTAACCAGTTGGCCGTTTTTGACGAGTATACTCGTCACGAAGGAATGGCAATAATTTGTGTTACGACGAGTATACTCGTCGTGAGTAAAAAGTAGTTACAATTTGCTGTTTAAATTGGAATTTTAGTGAAAACTAGAATATATTCGTAAACGTTAAGATGTTTCGGATATTTGAAAGCCAAGACGAATTAAAACGAGCAAATAAGAAAATATAAATAATTATTGTGAAAAAACTGTATACAGTGTGAACAAAGTAGTTGTTCTTTCCTTTGTAAATGTACCGTTTCCTTTTCTTCCTTTCACATTTTTCTTTCCAAAAATTCAAGAAGAAAATTATTATTTAAAAAATTCTAACTTTCACCCCGAATGAAATTAAGCAACTTCATCTCAAACAAATCTCTTTTTCACACATTCGTCCATTCACACAGTTACCAAAAAGCCCTGTCAGTGATAAAAGTAAAAAATAAAACAGTCGTTTGTATTAAAAATAAAACACGTACTCTGTGTTCGACGAGTATACTCGTCATCGCTTACTTTTTCCGACACACTTTCCAAAGAGGTCGCAACGGCTAACTGGTTAAATAACAAATTTTTATCAACACAAAGATCCGTCGAATTTATATAACAACTATAATTTCCAAGGTACGCGGGAGAATCGAAGAACACACACACACGTTATCCTTTAAGAGACGTTTCCACCATGAAGAATCTGCCACACGGCAAAGAGGGAAAAATTGCCCGATACTTCTATAAATCCGCGAAGTTTCAAAGAAACCGGAATTTCTCTTTCGTTCGAAATTATTTCTACTTAGCCTGGCAGAAGGAAGGATAACAATAAAAATCCTCCTTCGCTCTTTTCGCAGTTCCTCTAATAAAATAATCCGATACTTTTGAAAACAAAAATACCAGGAAACGGTAAAGTTCCCCGTGACAGTTGATGTATTCCGGGAACACGTTGCCATGCAGGGAAGAATATCAGAAAATTCCAGTCGATTCTTTTTCCCTGAAACTACCAGACTCTCTCTCTCTAAAGAAGCATCTGCCTCTGAAGAAGAAAAATATAAAGAATCTGGCGTGGAGATATATTAAGGTGATTGGTTGGAAATTCGCCGTGTCTGAGAGGCGGGTTTAATGCTCCTCTCGAGTCTCCAGCCTGCTAGATAAATACTATCATAAACGCTGGTCTCCTCTGATCGCCTGCTGGCCGGCTGATGCTTTATAAATAAACTCGTTGATCGTCCGTGGCGCGCCTCTAATCTCTGTACCAGCATCAACCTCGTGATTTTTAATCAACAACACACCTAAGCCAGGTGTTAATGCTGGATTGCTCCACTTGTATGATTCTCGGCTGCTGTTAACCTGTGCGCACTTGAACCAGATTCTTTCGCACGCCGAGAGAACGCAGAGAAGCTGGGAACAGGTGTTTCGCGTTCGTTCTCTTCTCGATAGTTCGCCGAGGTTTGTTTGACGTTGTCGAAAGAGTATTTTCGACACTTTGACACTTTGATCGGGTTGGTAAGTTCGGAGGAATTGTGTTTGTCGAAGTTTGAATCGAGTTGAAAGCTCGAGGTAGATAGCGTAAGGAGGAGTTAATAAAGAGGAGAATGTCGGTTGCCGACATTCTACCTGGAAAGTTCCGGTTACCTGTGCGGAGATAATTGGCGGAAAGGGTGGAGGGTGTAAGAAAATTGAATCGTATGAAGTTTATGAACGTTGGCCAGAGTTATTGTACAAGACGATGAGAAGTAAAGGAGGAAGAGCCTTTGACAATATTTCTCTTTTTGAGATTCTCAGAAAGTTGCTCGAGGATAATGACGGGTTGGAGCAGGGAAATATTGCAATATCGCGAAATCCAAATTTGAAAATAAATTACGTTGGAATAAAAATAAATTTTATTTCTGTTTCCTTCTTACAAAAGTAACGAGGCAACTAGGGGAAACGTGTATTTTCGAACAATACAGTTTTCTTCCACTCTACAGTCGACCGCCTCGGGTGTCGTTTTCAATGCAACGGAGGTTACGTTAAGTCTGGTAATTACAGGGGAACACGCATTGTTTGGTCAGAAATGAAGAAAATTAATTCGACCGGAGGGCGAAGTTTCAGGATTGAATGTTCAAACCGCAGGAAATTTGTCGTTGTTCAGACATGATTAACCTCGTGACGAAGTAATTAATTAGTCGCAGGGATCCGGTCGGTTGTTACAGGGGAGGTAATATTCCCTGTTTGCAATAACTACGTGGTTCCGTGGTAAAGATGGAAAAGGATAAAAGTGATCAAGAGGGAAAGTTAATAACGGTGGTTGTCCAGGTGGAAGACGAGGACCG